ATGGGAAAAAACTCTACTGAACAAAAAACAAAAAACCTGCCTATGTCATAAAAAACAACCAATAGCGTTTTAAAAAATTTTACCAAAGTCAAATCGGTCAAATAGAAGTTTGGAACGATTTAATTAATTTGATAAAAAAAACTCTCATAAAAAACAATAGCGCAATTAATAAATTACATTAATAAATATACCCCATAATAAATCATCATAAAATATTTTTGTGACAAAAATAATTCTTGAAATTTGCAGAGATCATAGATAACGATGCTGATCCATACATTTTCGGAAAAGTTATGTTAAGGCTTTTTAGAGGACCTTTAAAGTTCATACCAGAGATAACTCGGGTTATGGACTGCGCAGCGTCATGCGCAGCCCAAGTTATCTCGGGTTATGTGCGGAATTTTTATGAACCAATGTGACTCGGTTAAATTTATTTACATAATATGAAATGTTTATTGTGACATCGGCAAGTTTTTTTATTTAAAAAACTTTTTTATTAAACTATTTTGCATTACCCACGTATTATAACAGCACAAAAAGTCAGAAAATTTGTGTTATATTTTAGTATAATTGGTAATTAATACACTCCCTGCTGAAATCTGAACTTACCTTGAGGAATACATGTAAATATTCTGAAAACCACTCTCAACAGCTCAACCTATTTAGCACTGTGGGTTGCATGTATCAAGTTGCTAGTGAAGTCAAATGAAAGAATAATAATTTCTCCAGCTATATTATTTAATTAGTAGGATTTATTTTATTTTTTTATATTTTTTTATATAAATGAGGTTTTGAAGGAGTATTTTTTGTAGCGAATTTTTCGCGGAAATTTTCTAAATCTCGAATTCGCTTTTACCTGAAAATGTTTATTTAATATAAAATAGTTTTAAAATATGTTTTCTTGAAAAGTTAGGTGTTACGAGGATAATTATAAACAATTACCTTTTAAGAATAAACTGCAATTTATGATTTTAAATATGTAAGAAAAACTCTTGCAAACTTTCGAATATATCATCACTTCTTATTGAAAAATAATGCAAATTGGAAATATGTAACGGTTTTGCAGGGCCTGTAGAAGGTCGTCACATATGCCAAGTTAATGGCACATCTGACAACCTTCTACAAACTTTTGTTTAAAAGACTAACATTTTTCGAATTTTAATTTAGGATTTTCTCCTTCTTCAAGAAAAAGACAGCAATGCAGTCAAAATTGCAACCGAAGCAGCAAATTTAACCAAATGTGGAATATGGATGAAGAATGTAACAGCTGTATGGAAAAAAGTAAAATATAGTTACAATTTTACTAAAGTAATAACATATGATATCGTTACAATCATGTAAGATATAATATTGCAAAAAAAAAAATGTTCAAAAATTTCAATTGTTGAAATTCTTTTAGAAAATTTAATTTTTCAAGTGTTCTTATTTGTTTCAAGCGCACTCTTATTACTTTTTCATAAAATGTAAACTTTCCTTACTAATATTTTCAAGGCTTTATTACTATAAAGTTGTTATGTGATTGTACAGAATTACAATGAAATAACAATACTGGGACTTCCTTTCAAAAAAGTTTTCATACAAAAGACTTTTATACGCTAAACACCATTTGGAAAAATCAAAGTTAAACACCATCAGAGAGCATTGTAGTTTTGATAGAAAAGTAACTTGCATTTTATTTCGAGAATATAAAAATTTCTTCAGCAGTTCGGTTGGCAATGGCCAGTAAGAAACTAGAAATGTTACTGTTCACGGAATTAGCACTTTTTGACTTGTGACAGTCCTTGAGGGACAGTCATAGTAAACAGTAAAGTTACCGAACTTTGCATTTTTAAAAATCCATATTAAATTAAGAAGAATAGGGCAACTTTAAATCGTACCATCTGTAGTCAATGATTATCTATGTAAAAAAAGTATTTCAGTAACAACAAAATCATAATTACAATCGTATACAACAACCAAATCCCAATATTATCGGGCTAAAAACGATTATGATACTAATAATTTAATAGACAATTTGTCGTTAGAGCTAGGCATTAGGCCCCATCACTTGACAAATTTTAATAATTATAATTTAATTCAATAATTTTATATTAAGCTGAAAGAAAAGAATTGGACTGGAGTGGGACTTGAAGTGCAACTCCTTAAAATGTGTTGGCAATTACTCTATCTGGTCCTCCAGTCCAATCTCCTCTTCCAATATATTTAACATTACCAACAATGGNTATATATATATATATATATATATATAAATGGACATGTGTGTCCCTATATTTCACTTTTCAGCCAAAAATACACATCGCACATGAATGGTGTTTGTATGTGATAGTAGCCCCAAGTCTCTATTCATGCACTATGATGGTTGCGTCTCGATAGCTACAAGGATGCCTGAGATATGAGGCTGGAAGTAGTTGAAAGTGGTTTTCTATTTCGAATTTTATGTTCAAATTTGTTCGAATTTTATTCGAACATAAAATTCGAATATTGGTTCGATTATAGAACGATTGTAAACGTTCCAGAAACGTTGAAAATAGTTCGTTTGACTGGACGTGAACATTAGACGTTCAGAAATAGAATCGGGACTAGGTATCTAATTTGTCTGGAAACGCGGGATTTAATTCTTGCATTCTGTGAAAACGGGTAAGATTGGCTAGAATGTAATTATCTTAATCTTCACTATCATTATTTTTTAAAAACCCAGCGAAGCGGGTCCTTGCAGCTAGTCAATAATAAAGATATTATACTCTAGTTCAATTTTAAGATTTATCAGTTTTTAAAAATTTAAAAAAAAAATATAGTATAATACTGCCATTATTATGAATCAATTTATAGTATATTATTAGTTTAAGATAAGTTGAATATATTATAGTAACTTTGTATTTTTAAAAGGACGCTGAGCCAACATTAAAAGATATTTCGTTAAGCATAAAAACTGGAGAATTGTTAACTGTTATGGGTCCTGTTGGATCAGGAAAGGTAAATATCTTGTTTTTGAAGCTTTACAATTTCAATGAATTACATGCTATGTGATTACCAATTTGTTTAGAAAAATAGTGGTTCATCGTATTTCGAATTTCATTCATACTATGATGCCATTAGAAGTCCGTACCACTTTTATGTTAAAAATAATTAAAAAATATTTTTTTCATTTTCAGATACAAAACGATACCGATCTCGATTAAAGTAAAACAACAAATACACATTAATCAATATAATTGAACGCTGTACTTTAACTTTCTCATTTGATAGAAAACTAAAAAAAGAAAAATAGGCAGGAATATTTTAAAAAATTGAAATTTTATAAAAGTAAATTGATTGCTTGTTGCATTAATACCAGAAATGCAAAAGAATTAATAACTTAAATATTTAGTAACAAAAGCTTTGCAGTTGTTTTTGTAATTACATTATAAATGCAGTGTGTTTCAAATTAACTAATAAAACGATTTATTAATTTACTTAGACGTCTCTATTAATGTCGATGTTGGGAGAGATTCCAATAAATTCTGGTAAAGTGTCGGTGAAAGGAAAGATCGCTTACGCTTCTCAAGAAGCTTGGGTATTCAACGAAACAATTAAAGAAAACATCTTGTTCGGAGAAGAATATCAAGAAGACAAATATAGAAGAGTCTTGCATATAACGGCCCTGGAAAAGGTGATAAAATAATGGTTATCCTGTTTTTACAGACTATATTATTTATATTGATTGAGAGGAAAAACTTTTATTACGGTTACGAGTAACACGTAAAGTACTCCTTACATTAATGTACAGTTAATTTATCAGAATAATTGTTTACTGCATTTCTTCTTACGATTTTGAAGTAATTTGAGTTTATAATTATTAGAGAGCATTAATAATATTTTTGAATTTTATATTTCAGTTTAGTTTGCAGTAAATATCAAAAACCTAACTGCGTTATAAGTGTAAAATATTATCCCAATTAAATCTTTATCTTCAGTTTAATTCTAGTTATAGAGGTCCAGAATGCACCATCTTTTTTTCATGCTACTCTCTCATGCGCTCTTTCCTTTAGCTCTTCACAACTACCCTCCTTTTACGATTTACACCTTTCTAATTACTTTTTTCCCTTTTTTTCCTTGCAATGATTCTTTTCATAAAGTCATTTTATAATACTTCTTGATCATGTGGCCAAACTTATTAACTTTTCTCCTCATTGTTTGTAATATTTTTAAATATTTTAAAATATTTTTTAATTTATACACTCACTCCTGTTAGGACTTTTTTATTTGTCAGCTTATCGTTTCATCTGACTTATTTTTCTTCACAGCCATATCTTTGGAGTATCTGTTCTAGGGTATTGTTTTTAATATAAATTTCAGCAACATAGAGTAAAATACTTTAGATGAAGCATTTTATGAGCCTTTTTAAATAAAAATTTCAGAGGTTTACACAAAATTGTTTTCATATTGCTAAATGTTTTTTTTTGCCAAACCGATTCACTTCTTTATTTTTATTTTTTTTTTTTTGCACTTCCACATTCACAGTGAAAATAAGCACCAGGTATCAAATTCTGTTCACTTGTTCTATTCTTTCACCATTTATACGGATGTTGACCATTCTTTCCTTTTCTCTGATCTATAATACTTTTTTGTAATAATCAATTTTTATTTTGATGGCCGCGACGCTTCTTCACTTCACTCAGGATTAAAGTATAGTGATTTTATTCTTGCTCTTGGCTAGAATTGCCACATCATCAGCATACCTTAGGCACTGTATCTGCCGTCCCCTGATTTTAATGTTTTTTTTTTTTCATCTAGGTATATCTTAATCACATTACCATGTATATATTGAAAAGAATTAGTGAGGTAACACCCCGGTTTAACCTATTTTTAATTCTGATTTCCTATGTGTATTGACCATTTACATCAACTACTGCTATCTGATGTTTGTATAAGTTGAAATCAATCTTTGTTATTCCACTCTATTTCTTTTTCAAAATGTACATCAACCTTTCCCAGTTAATTTTGTCAAACGCCAACATTTCTTTCCCTTTTTCAAAGTATCGTTTTCCTATGGTTTTCAGCACTCTTATCGCATCTGAAGTCTTTCTTCTCATACTGATCTCAAATGATTTTCCCTGAGGAATAAGTTCGGTTTTCTGTAAAAGCGTTTCCTTAATATTCTTCAAAGGATTTCTGAAGAATGGAGATTACGCTAATTTTTTTCATTTGATTTTTATCTTTCTTCGAAATGAAATTTAAAATATTTATCAGAAAGTCGTGAAGACACGTGTTCTATTATAGATCAAGTTGCAAAGCCTGGAAATTTTCTTAATTCCGTTTTCGGCCATATTCTTATTGAATTCTATAGAAATGTTATGAATGACTTTTTATTTTATATTTCTAAATTTTTTACATTACTTATAACGTCTTCCATCAAAATTAAAGCTTCTAGTTCGCCTTTATCCATACATTATTTTTCTTCTAACTTCAGTTCTACATTATCTTTTGCTCTGTACATATCACTTTCGTATTTGTGCTATCTATGCAAGTTATTTTATTTATTTATACTTTTTCAATTTTTTTACACTAATAGTTACTCTGATAGTCCTTCTGAATGAAAATGCGTCCTTAAGATTATCATACATTAGATAAATCAGCTTTCACGTTTTCAGACTTTCAATTTCTTCTCATTCACTAAATGATGGAGCAAACCAAAAATGAATTGCTTGTTCAAACGACTCATTTTTAATTTGCTCGATCATTCTTTGCTTTGTTTGGTTCTATGTATTTCAGACGTCCTTCTTTAGAATTCACAACCTTTTCTTTTGTTCATTTTAATTACTATGTCTGTATCCAAAGGCTTGCGAGTTCTTTCATTTTTTAGTTTTGCTGTCCGTTCCTCTACTATGGCACGAATCGTCCTTTTCATTGATATCCATAATTCACTTTAGTTTTTCAGCATCGTTTTCTCCTATTTTTTTAATGCTAGTTCAGGTACTATTTTAAACATTTTTAAATTCCTTTTCAAAGTTTATAAATTATTTTTCTGACTCACTTTACCCTCTTTGTGATCTTAAACCTCATTTTCAATTTTTCAAGTACGAAGCTGTGATGTGTTTATATATCTGTACCTAGGTAGCTGCTTACATTTTAAATAAAATGTCTCTTTAATAAATATAATTCATTTATATTTCTTAATATTATATTGAATAACAATAAAAATTGTATTTACTACAAATAAAGTTAGGAATGCAGATTATGTATAACACAATTACTTTGTGTTTTTATTTTTACGTTCTTTAGGATATTCGCTTATTACCTAAAAAAGATCTGACTATTGTAGGAGAAAGAGGAGTGATTATGAGCGGTGGACAGAAGGCAAGAATTAATCTAGCAAGGTAAATTAGATCTTATCCTAACGTTATATTACCAGGATTGCAGATGTCAGAATGCAAACTTAATGGAAATAAGACAGACACAAGGTAATCATAACTCGATTTAATAAATTCGAATGTTAACTTATATGTATATATTTTTTACATACTGACAACAGTGTTAACAAATGTACATTATTTCTTGCCATACTCAGTAAATGTTTCTCATCTGTAGAAATTTTCTTCTTGCGTTCCCATGTTCTGTACAGAGCTGGAAAATGTAATAAGTCAGTAATTTTCAAAAGTTAATGTGTTAAAAAAAATAAAAATATTTTATTATATCGGATTACATCTCTTTAAATTGGATAGTCTCATTTTTAATGCCCTTTTTTCAATGCCTGATTTTCTCTTCCTACTCAAAAAATGTCATGTCTAGTATATGACAGAGGAATAACTATTTTGTAAGTTTTTTGTGAACAAAGTAAATTTTCGTAATTTCTTAACAATTTACTAACCATGTAAATGATAGATAGCTTTACATTATATGACACACAACTTCAACTAGATGTAGAATAAACGCAAGAACATATGAAGATAATATATATGAGGTGGGAAACAACAGTAGGCCTATATTAAATAAATTTAGGTTTAGTTCCTATGCTCGTGTAATATTTCTTGTTGAAAATTTATTTTATTGGAATGCTTCGATTCTGTGTCTTCTAGAGCACTGTATCTAGATGCAGATATTTTCCTTCTTGACGATCCACTAAGTGCTGTTGACGTTCCAGTGGCGAAACATATATTCGAAAAGTAAATATTTAACTAATATTATGTACACGAAATTATTATAAAAGTTTGTTTCTAGCACTTGGAATAAATATATTAATTAAATTATCAACAACTGTGTGGTAGATAATAGTAAGAGCTTATCAGACAAATGATGGGCACAAACGCTCAAGAATCAAAGTGAAAACGGTTATTAAACACAAAATTAAATACATGAATATGGAAACGAAAAAACGAAAAATGCATTTCAGACTATTTTCTGCTAGAAATTAGTCCCTGATCAGTTGGTATTAACTGAAGATTTTAGTACTGTGTAATTAAAATTATACAAGGTAAACTTAAAATTATGCCTATAGCTATAAAATATAGGGGAGATCGGGGCAAGATCGGCATGTTAAGCTTTACTTAAATTTTGTGT